CCAACCCAGCCGGTGTGGGGGGCAGCCGCTTTCCACCCGCCGCCGCTCCGGCGCCCCCGCTTCCTTCAGGCGCCGCTGCTGGTCCTTCCTCTCCTCCTCCTCCTCTCCCGGCCGGCTCGGTGCCCCCCGCCGCGGCCAGCCGGCCCAGCTCCTCCGCCCCTTCCAGAAAAGGGTCCTTCAAGGTCCGCCTGAGCCGCCTTTTCCGCACCAAAAGCTGCAGTGGCGCGTCCTGCACCTCGGCGGCTCCCTCGGGTGCACGTCGGGCCGGGGAAAGGGACCCTCCCCAAGCCGCGGCCACCCCGACCCCCTCGGGCACGGCCGGGAGTCTCCCCGATGTGTCTCAGCCTGGAGGCCGGGAGCAAGACCCCGGAAGGTGAGAAGAGGGAAGGAGAAGAGAAGGTGGGCAGGTCTAAGGGTCACAGCGAGGGAGGGGTCTGTTGGGATGATCTTTGTTGAGTGATGGAGGGTAGGTAACTAGGGGATTCTTTGAGGTTGGCGTGTTTAGGAACTGGGGGAAAGGCCAATGGCTTGCGTTGGTGCGCTGTGAATTTAGGTTCCCCACTTAAGGGGAATCTGTTAATATAGACGCTGGATACCTTCCAGATGTTTTGGACTACACTCCCATTATCCCATCCAGCGTGGGTGATGAGAATTGTGGCCCACAGTTCTGGTTGTCCTCAACCCTCCTGGCTTCTGGTTGAAACTGGAAAGTCTCCTCTGTTTATCCTTCTACAGCGTCAGTGGTAAATAGAGAAAGCTCCCAGGCTCAGTTTCTGACCAAAGAGTGAGTTGCAGTGTGTGTGAAAGTTGTTTGGCCAAGACAGGTATAGCCATTCAGACAACATTTGGCTAGATGAACTGACTTAGACAGTTCCCTAAGTTCGGTTGGGCCTCCAAGCCCTGTATCCCAGAAGGAAGATCTGCAGGCATTTAGTATTCTCACAGCGGCAGCTTGGATCCTCTGTACTGTAATTGGAAGAGCAGAGGCTATGAATTGCCTAGGCAGGTGAACATTTCTATGTTTCCAAGCTGATGGTCTACTTAAAGATGTGCTGGGATGACAGATTCCCTTGGGCAGGGCTGGGGAATATGTGGCTTGCCAGATGTTGTTGGACTCTAGTTCTTGTCACCTCTAGCCTTCATAGCTATTGATGACAGATAATGAGAGCTGCACTTCAGCAGTATTGAGAAGTCCTGATGGAAGGCTAGAAGGATTCTTAATGAGAGTCTTTAATCAGAAACGCAAATGCCTTAATTGCAGGTTGCCTTTCTTGTACTGTACTAGGCATCCAGGGCATGGGTGGGTAGAAGGTAGATCAGGACCACCTGGTAAATAGCAGAGTGATTTGCAGTACATCTTTCTTAGTAGTCTAAGGAACACAATTACTAAAAGCAGTTCCCCTACTAGATTTCTGAAAAAGAACCTTTACTGAGCATGCACCCAGAGACATCCTATTCCTTAATTCTTGGAGTAAGTCCCTGGTTTGCAACACTGTGAACCTGGGTTTAGTGGCAGATTTCAAATAACGAAACAAATCACAAAAGCAGATCTTGCATGTCCAAAGTTAGCCAGCTGTTTTCTTAAGGATTGTGTTTGGGTAAGTGGAAGGCAGGAGATTAATGACGACTAAGGATTTGTTTTTAACTGACTGTTATTATTAACTATGAAACTTAACAGTAGTTGCATTGATACAAAAGTCTTACTTTGTTTTTTCAATGGATGCTTTAGCTGCCTTTTAAGACCAGAAGCCTAGTGTGTTAATTTCCTGTTGTGATTAGGTGGATTTAAGGCTGAGGGGGACTTATATGGATTTTCAGCATGAGAAGAAATTGATAGATGCTAGTATAACGTTCTGGTTTTATTAGCCCAAAGGGTTCAGAGCATATTTTCCAGATTTGTGGTGTTGAGTTTAGTTGTAAATGCTGATTGTGTGGTTCATTCACCAGTTCTTGAGATGCAGAAGTTGCAGCTTGTTTTAATGGAAATTTTAGTTTAAGGAAAATTATGTAGTGGAATGCGATTGTCCTAGCTGTAATTTTTTAAAAGCTACTTTCACTCTTGCTTTAATGCAGGAATTTGAAATGTTTGGCCCTCCACATTCAAATTTCACAATCCCTTATCACTGCTTGCACTGCCTGTGGCTTCTGGAAGTTGAAGTCCAAACATCTCAAGAGCAAAAGGATCTCTATCCCATTATAATATGAAAACTTTTATAAATTACATTTTGTTTTACTCTTAAAATTGTAGTTGGATGGGCTAATATGTTCTGTAGTTAGATGGGCCGTTGAACTCTGACTTGTACAAGGTAAATGGTGATCTAAATTCTGTTGTATAGTTATGCCAGGGGAGGGGAAATCAAGTAAAGCAGCAAATCACTTATTAATAAGTCCTTGCTTGGATTCCTCATTGTGGGCAAGTTAGGTGGCTCAGCTTGAGACCAAGAATCCAGTTGCAATTTGTCACTGTAAGTTATGTCATGTGTTTTCAACCATATGGTGTGGGATTTGGGTTACTAAACTGAATTTGGGGTGGAGGAGATTTCAACCTAAAACCTGAATCCATGTAGGCTGTACTCTAACTGACCCTCAGTATCAGGGTATTTAAATGGTGTTCCTCTTGAGAGATCTTTTAGGTTTATTTTCACATACTTGAGTGGTAGACCATTCTTCTATGCATTCAGACAGTCTCAGACAACTCTCTTCTAGTGGTTCTTATACTTTGTTCCTCTAGATGTTTTGAATCCCAATTCTCAGGGCTCCTGTCCCATTAGCTAGCTGCACTGGCTGGAGATTCTTGGAGCTGAAGTTCAAAGCCTCTGGAGGACCAAGGCCTGGGAAACAGTGTTCCACAAAAGCTCCAGGGTTTGGGGACTAATGGAAACGTCTGCCTGAAACCTTGGAGAGTTGCTGCAAGTCGTGATTTGATTAGATGGGCCAGTGGGCAGGCTTGGGTATTTCATATAGGCTCATACAGAAAAATGGCCACACACAAATGTCTTTTCCAAAATGGTGGCTTTTAAATGTTTTTGAATTATAATGCCTGTGAATCCCAGCCAGCGTGATCAATTGTCAGAGATGATTGGACTTGTAAGACCAAAGCAGAGGGAGCGAACCACATTGGAGAAGATTACAGAAGCCATGCTGCAGATCGCATGTGGTTGTTTTTGTTTATTTTGACAGGACTGTTTTATCCAGGAATGAGGAACATGCCACCTTCCAGGTGGTGTTAGGCAGCATTTCTATAGTCCCTCACCATTACATTCCAGATAGAACAAGTGGGAGTTGTTGTCCAACAAAATTTGGAAGACCACACATTTTCCCATCCCCCAGGTAGTCTCCTCCTACCTGTGTTACCTGAACTCCATTTCAATTGGAGATGCTAAGGATTGAAACTGGGATCCTTTGCTTCTGTTCTACCACATACCTGCATACTACCTAGCAGAAGGTAAGACTCTGATGTTGGGAAAGTGTGAAGGAAAGAGGAGAAGGGGACGACACAGGATGAGATGGTTGGACAGTGTCACCGAAGCAACCAACATGAATCTGACCCAACTCCGGAAGGCAGTGGAAGATAGGGCGGCCTGGCGTGCTCTGGTCCATGGGGTCACGAAGAGTAGGACACAACTAAACAACAAGCAGGTATACAACTTGTCAGTGCCTGCATGGGTAATAATACGAGAACTCATGAATAGCAAAACACAAAAAAATGTAATAAACAGCTATCTTTCCAATAATTCAACAGATTTGAGTTTTCTGGGATTGTTTGTGCAGCATTAATGTTGAATGTTTGGTCAGTACATTTCTTGTGAGATTTCAGGCAAGCAGATCTTGTGAGTGGTTTTAGAGGATGTTGTAGTAGAATTGGTGATGAATGTATAGGGATGATGTATTTTAATTGATCGGGAAGGGGGATGGATTTAGACAGGTTCTGGGACTTTATGAGGTAAATAGTTCCATACCTGAAGTTCATGGGCATATGTCAGGCTGAGTAATACATTCTGCATGTTGTAGAATGGTGTATATTCTGTACTTAAAAAAACAAACCATAAATGATTGGTATTTCATTTGCCCCAGTGATTCCTTCATGGTCAGATGAAATTTATAAAGTCTTTCAGCCTGTGGATTGTTATGAGGTGGTTTTGTTTCAGCTGTAGATTGCACTTTCTTCCTTTTCCTCAGTGAGACATGACTCCAGGGCATTCAGGTTGTCACATCTAAGCATCATTCACTTTATCTGACCTAAGTGTGCCAACTCCTTATCTTTCCAGCATCTTGCTGTCATAAGCAGATGGCACTTCCTTCCTCATACATTTCACTATTTATTAATCTCACAGCAATAATTCTTCTATCTATGAATTCCAAGGTGTGTGAAAATTTCAGGCAGCAGATGAGAGCAACAGTTCCAGCATTATGGTTAAACAGTGTAAGATGGTGGTGTTCAAATGTTTCAAGCATTATTACATCCAGGGATTACATGTGAAAGTATATGTTTTGGGGATTAATAATGAGGATGCCTTCATATTAATAACTGTTGTACACTTGTTATGCATATTGTGAGGCACCCTGCATTCCAGAAGAGAGTATATAAAAGAAATCTTTCCTAGGTGACAATTGTTGTTTTGTCGTTGTGTCCGACTCTTCGTGACCCCATGGAACAGCACACACCAGGCCCTTCTGTCTTCCACTGCCTCCCGGAGTTGGGTCAAATTCATGTTGGTAGCTTCGGAGACACTGTCCACCCATCTCGTCCTCTTGCCTTCACACTTTCCCAACATCAGGGTCTTTACCAGGGAGTCTTCTCTTCTCATGAGATGGCCAAAGTATTGGAGTCTCAGCTTCAGGATCTGTCCTTCCAGTGAGCACTTAGGGTTGATTTCCTTCAAAATGGATAGATTTCTTCTCTTTGCAGTCCAGGGGACTCTCAGGAGTCTCCTCCAGCACCACAATTCTCCACATGCTATTCGGATGACAATGGCATGTGATTTTGTGTGGATCAGAGGCAAGTGAAGAAGCAACACTTTTGGTCCAGATGAAGATGACTATTGCTGTACAGGATTCTAGCCATATCATTCCATTTTACTTTCTTCCCTCCCAGTCCATCAGCCAGAATTCTATTGCTGCTGGGGAATTATAGACTCAAACTAGCTGATAAGCTTAACATATTTTTTAGAAGTGATGCTTCCTTAGATTTGTCAGAAAGGAATTACAGTAGTTTGCTTTTCCTCACCTAAATTTCTTGCATTTATCATACATTACTTGGTGATTGGAAGAGAAACACAGACTCAAGTTGCATGTCTGATTGATGAGAAGTGTTTAATAGAGAATATCCCAGTTCCTTTTATAGGAGGGAGAATATTAAGGAGGTATGCATTCACCTTTTGAATGCTTGAATCTCAGTCCTTATTGGCCTGTTCTTGGGATCGTCCCATCCTGCTGCTGTTTTCTTCCTCTTGTGATGCACATAGACCATTTGGGCTAAAACTGTGTAAGTCACATCTTGAACAAGGAAACAGAGAATGGTAGACTAGGAGTGAGGGGGGTCAGTCTCTGAGCTTGCCTCCAGGCAAGGTTGACTAGGAGGTAGAAAGGCCTATCATATATCACGCAGACACTCTAGGCCAGTGGTCCCCAACCTTTTCTGAACCGTGGACCCGGTTGGTGGGGTGGGGCAGGGGTGCTCGCGCAGATGGGTGGGGTGCACTCATGTGGGTGAGGCTCGCTCATGCGCATGCACTGGTGGGCAGGGCACCATGTCCATGCGGCTGGACAGGCTGTGTGCGGTGGGAAGTGCATGGGGGGGGCGGTTTGATCTGTCTCTGTGGCCCAGTCCTGCCAAGGCCATGGACTGGCCACCGGGCCACAGACTGGGAGTTGGGGACCCCTGCTCTAGGCAACATTTTATGGGGGTGGGTATGTGGGCTTAATTCAGCAACAGTGTTGAGTTAATGTGATCAAATAAAACATGTACACTCTGTTCTCTTGGTGCACTAACGTGTGCTAGCGTTCATGTTAGGAATTATGCAGTTCTGCAAGGGGCGGTCTTGGTCTCTGGGCTGAACCAGTATCAGGCAAGGCTTTTCTTAGGACCAACCAAGTCTACCACACAGTTGAAATCGCCTTCTAGAGTTCTCCAAAAGTCTCCCTTAAGCTGGCTGTAAAACAAGTGATGGTAGAGGGGAGGTTGGGCAAAATGTGAAAAAAAAAACCAACTCTCCACTTTGTGGCTTCTGTTGTTTGGGAATCAAGGATTCTGAGAACTGTCAGGCAGGTAACATTTTCAAGCTCTATTCCAAACCTCAAGTATTTTCACATCTGAGTAAGAAACTGAGTAAGAGTGAATGGCCAAAATGACAGTGTGGGTTCTTGTGGGAGCAGTTGTAAAATGATTCCTTTCTTCCTTCAACGTTCTATAATTAAGTATAATAGGTGTGTATGAGGATAGTAGTGTATGCCTGTATAGTGGATATGTATGAACAGAGTGCTACTGTTGATTGAATGCTGATTGGTTAGTGTGATTAAAATGTTTTGGGGAGGAGTCTGATCTGTGTGGCAGTTTTGGGTTTAGTGTAGAATCAGAGGGAGTGAGATCTGAGAGTTTAAAAGGGAAGGAAGTCTGTTTTTAGAGTAAGTTAAAAGACATAGTCTGTGGTAGAGTTCATTAAGAGGTTTTCTAGAGAGCTGTGAGAGAGAGCAACTGAGTCGTTAAAGAAGTCATTTCAATCTTTAAATACAGAAGAAATATATTTGCATTATAAAATTGTTGCAACATATGTCATTTAACAACTTAGTCCTTAACTTTTCCCTTCATACCCGTCACCTCTTACCATAAAAATCTTTTGTTTCAGTCAAATTCTCCTTGTTAATTATTTTAAGAGTAATCTTGTAAGAGTAATTAAAATGTGCCAATAAAATAAATCTTGAGACACGTGGTTTGGAAAACAATTTGGAGCATTTAGATTGTTGGTCGACATTTCTTTAAGATGAGACGGGGCATGGTGTAAATGTGATTTTGAGAAATGTGGTGAATAGCAATTGGTCAAGAAGTAAGATGACATTTTACTATGTTAAGCTTTGTATTTATTACTTGTAACATAATTTTCTTTAGAAAATTTTTTTAAGAGTAATCAAGAAGAAAGCCAGGTGTAACATGATAGATTGTCTTTTCTTTAGAATTTTTTTTAAGAGTAATAAAGAAGAAAGCCAGGCTGCAATCAAATAATAATACACTCATGTCCCATGAAGCTACACTTTATCAGTAGGATCCTATTGATTAATTTAAAAAAAACTTTGATATCTTCATTCTGAATTATCTGAAACACCAGCTTGAACAAGAAGACTCTCGCTGGGACAGTATAGAAAGAATAAACCCAAAATAGTTGGCTGTAGTTTTTTTCTGGGGTGTGTGTGTGTTGTTTTTTCCATGTAATGGATTTCCTAGCAACACGAAGAAGTTATTTCAGGTTAATGCTTTTCCTAGTGGCTGTTAATAGGTGCCCTGAGAGGTGCTTCTGACTCCCTGTGGGATTTGTAACCCCACTTGTGTCAAAATTAGTGCCAAGGTCATCACTTTCTGCCACATAGGGTACTGCAATCCACAGTTTACTTATCTGATGGGGGGGATTTTAAGTGAAAGAAGAGTGGGTCATAAAATAATTTTCCATTCCCCAAAATCTGTTTTGAAGAGGGACTGCTTCAGTCTGCACTGGAGGACAAAAACTCACATGATTTATTTTATTTATTTTTTATTAGATTTATAGCCCGCCCATCTAGACCAATGGTGAAGAGGCCCTCAGTAAAATAATGTTAAGATAACTTCCACAATGCTTGCCTTCTGGTTTTCTATGTGGAGAATTATGTGTTTGTGTGTTGTTTATATCTAAAATACATATATCTGAAGAAGAGTATTTCACCATGCTGACCCTTCCCCCACCCCGGCAACTTGATGCAATGCTAAATTATAAGCTGGTTTCAGATTCCATGTGCATATAAAAACAGAAGCTCCTTTAAATGTGTAAATATACACTTCATTTTCTTTCTAGGTTCTCGATGTATCACAGATGGCTTGCAGGCAGGCAAACTAGTAAAATGTTTCGTGGCCTAGGAGTAAGATTTATTTGCAAGGTTTACAAATCCTTTGTTTATAGTAGTTGGTTTGATTCTGAAAATCAGTAAGCCTAACTTATAATTAAAAAAAAGGATGCAGTTAAAAAATACCGGAAAAATACAAGCTTTGGGTATGGTTCCTTATAATCTTTTTAATCTTGATTTGAATACTTGCCCTGATGAGTACTACAAATTCAATTGTATTTTAATTCTTAGATTGGGGAATTAGAAGCCTAATGAAGGCATAAATGCCTGTCAGCTGAATCAGGTTTTTTTTTTGCCTGAATTAAAGTCAAAAATGCCTGTCAGCTGAATCAGGTTTTTTTGCCTGAATTAAAGTCAGAGGCACACTTCATTCTTGCCATAAAAAAGGTTATTTTTAGTGTGTGACTATGTGTAAGAATAAGAATTACATTCTTGCCATTTACATCTGTAAAGACTGAATGAACTGGATTATCAGGTTCTTATTTAACACATTTACACTCTGCCTTTTCTACCATTTGGGGGCAGGGGACAGTTTACAGTTAAGTAGCATAAACATCCCTGTGTTGATGCAGCAGCCTCATTGTGGTAGTGCCAATCCTTCCTTATATTATTGTTTAGTCTAAAGGCCATAACATGGATTAAAACATGGAGTTGGCATCAAGATAGCAGGGTATCTGTGGAATGGAAATATCAGAGTGTAGGAGGAAGGGCAGGGTTTCTTGAGAGGTGAATAATACCTAATATTATATGCCATCAAGTTGATTTCTACTTATGGTGACCCTCCCATGAAGCATAACCTTATTTATAGGTTCACTTCATCTGTACATTTTTTTGTTGTTGCAGAAAACCAAGATTGATGCGAACACAAAGTGCCTTTTCTCCTGTTGCTTTTGGTCCCCTCTTCACAGGTGAGCATCAAGGGAAGAACTTGGATTTTTATTAACCCTCGTGGGCCAGGATGGGAGAGTTGAACCGCCTAGACTTGTATTTTGTTGCTGAATAGACTGAGAATGTAGACATTCAGCAGCATTCTCATCGGAAGAAATTAGAAAGCCACTGATTTCAACCACTGTTATGTACAGGGTGTTTTTTTTCACAGATGAATCACAGCTAGGACAAAAAATGTCCCAACAAATCTTCTGCATTTCTACATTTGGGGAACAGTTTTGTCCCAGCTTAGGTAAAGAAAGGTTCCATGCTGCTTTCCAGGGAACAATGATGCGGAGAAGTAAATTGATGTACAGTATTCTGTCAGTAGTTTGGTTCCGTTTGGATGGAGAGTGGAGGATATATTGGGAATTCTCACTCAGTTCATCAAATTCAAGGCATGTACTTTAGATCTTGCTGCTAATGTGTAGTACATTTGGATAAGAAAGTACTCTACAACTCACTGTATGGGTTGTTAATTTTAAAAAATCCTGGTGGATGAGGGTTAATTTATGCATTTGTTGTCATAAGAATCTTTAAGACTAGGAGAAGCTAAAATTGACACTGGAGTGATTCTGGGTGTTTTGTGTTATTTTGTGTTACAGTAAAAAAATTAAGAAATATTTAATATTTACATGGGTGAAAACATGCCTCTGCTCTCATGTATACGAGATTATCCCTGGGGTCCTTCACGGTGGTGTTACCCAAGCCAATGCCTTAGAGATGTGTAGAACTACAATTGCCATCCTTCCAGCCAGCATTTGTCAGGCCTGAGTGTGATAGTGCCTTACCTAGAATGAATTCTGTCCAAAAACACAGTACAGTAATATCAGTAACTGTTTTCCATACTGAATTCTCTCCCCCCCCCCCGCCCCCACTTCAGTTCTTATTAGGGGAACTGACTCTCTTGGCCAGCTTCTACTGTCTAATAGCCAACTCCACTGGAGAATTAATATACACTTTCTTGGTAACATGGCCTAGGAGACAAAGGCATCAATGCAGAAAGAGATTATAGAGAATCTATCCTAGTCTGAATACTCTAGTTTTACCAAAATGTTAGTTTTTTTTAAAAAAGACAAAAAACTGGCTGACTGTTAGAAGTGCAGCCAATTGAATAAATTTATTAATAATATTAATATTAATATTAATGTATTTATATTGCACTCTGCACCATAGTGTATTCCAGTAAAATCAATGTACAAACATGCAACACATTTAACAGGTAGCAGATTGTGACTTCAGATATGTTCATCCATTCAGGCTGGCTGCAACACCTGGGAGTTTTGTATTTGAACCACTTCTGATACAGTTTTTGTCAGTTACTGGTTGGAGATATAGGAATTGATATAAAGTCCACAAAGGTGTTGCATGGAATTGATAGTTGATTTGGATTATGGGATAACATACACAGGCATATATTGGGTTTTGTATACCTGAAGGCTTGATTCTGGCATTTATTCCTGGGTTAGAGCTTAACTGATATAATAGCATGTACAGTGGTACCTTGCTAGACGAAAACCTCGCAAAATGACAAATCCGCATGACGATGAGGTTTTGCGAATGCTATAGCGATTCGCAAAACAGTGATTCCAATGGATGATTTTCGCTGGACAATGATTTGGTCTGTGCTTCGCGGACCGTTTTTTCGCAAGACAACGATTTTTACAGCTGATCGGCGGCTTCGCAAAATGGCTTCCCTATGTTTTCCGGACTGATGCTTCACAGGACAGCCATTTTAACAGCTGATCGGTGCTTTGCAAAATGGCTGCCCTATGGGCGATCTTCGCAAAATGATGATGATTTTTCCCCATTGGAACGCATTAAACGGGTTTCAATACATTCCAGTGGGGAAACGGTTTTCTCAAGACGACGATTTCACTGAACAGCGATTTCAGTGGGACGGATTATCGTCGTCATGTGGTGCACCACTGTAAAGTCTGTCTCAGTGTGACTAGGGAGAATCTGAATGTGTAGTGAAAGATGCAGTACTAATATGGAAATGGACAATGTACTTCTCCAGTCCTTATGATCAGTATTTGTGATAAACAGGCTGGTATTCACATTTAAAAATTTCAGCTCTGCTTCCTGGAACAAAGGGTTTGAAGATGGGCTGCTTTTACTTAGGAGTGAATGGGATAAGGTCACTCCCTACATGTTCAGAAGTGCTCTTGAGTGTTACTCCATGTAACCCATATTTTGACACTTGTATGGAAAGCAGATTGGTGAGGGGGGGACTGAGACTTGGCACAAATTAAACCCTCCTTCCATTTAAAGTGTGTATGAGTTGGCATATGTGTCTACATTTCAGTAATCTTCCTTTTCTCATTCAAAACCAGCTTCTTCAGCTTGCCTGGCATTCTGCTAAATCCCAGATGCCATGGGTTGAAAGTTCGGATTGTTACTTGGTGGCAAGGGAAATAATCCCTCGCATATGTTTGTTCCCCAGCCAAATAGAAATTTGTAGTTTCAAACGTGGGAGGGTATATGCAAAATGTCTGGGCTTTGTTTCAAGAGCCAAAGTGTGATATTCAGTCAACATCTTCCTCATCTGTAACATTGAAACCACTCTTCCAATGCAGCCTGCACCTTTCCTAACTTACATCAAAGTAACTAGCTCGGCACATCCATCTGCCGCAAAGATCTGGGATGACAAGACACCAGGGCATGCTTGAAGAAATGGGCATAGATCCACAAAAGCTAGCAGATTGTATGACTTCTTTAGTGGTCTAATAGATGTCTTGCCTACTCCTACATTGCGTTTTATTTTATGATTTATCTAAACATTTTTGTACATACAGAAGCCCCTAAACTGGTTAAGAAGTCGAAATACCACTAAAATAGCAGAGGTAAAACCACAGAACTCAAATGAAAAGTCAGGTGGAATGAACATATTTCTGCTGCCTGCCTGAAACTTTTTGTAATAGTGATAATCTGGTCTCCCCTGGAAGGGAATTTTACTGAAGTCATGAGAATATCCCCCATCTAAGGCTCCTTTTTTTGAGTGAGTGGGGAGGATGTGCAATAAGACCTCCAGAGATGTCCACAAGCTGGAGCAGATTCATATGGAAGTGGAGGAGGTGTATTCGTATACAAATACTTCACACAGATGGAGATAACAAGGGTCTGGACGGTCCACTCACCGATACGCTAATGCTGCGGGGCCCGCATTGCCGTCCTGTTGCTCTGGAGATTGCGATCACCAAGCCACTCTTCGACCTGGCAGAGAGGCTTCTCGTCCCGCCTCTTGCCAGGAGTGACTAGGTGATTGTGTGATAGGACAGCAGTGCGGAGCCTGCGGCATTAGCGCATCGGTGAGTGGACTGTCCGGCCCCATGGGGCTGGACCTTCATCTCCACCTGTGCGGGGGTATTTGTATTCATATACAAATACCCCCATCTCTAGTGTTGAGATATCCTGACTCCAGCCAGTACAATTGATTCTGAAACCACTCTAATATGAACTGAGATTCCCATCCAGGAAAACTGGTGATGTTCTGTAGCTGCTGCAGTTTCTGAACCCTCTTCAAAGGTAACTCCATGTATGCATGAGTGCCCAGTAATAGCTTGGAACAAATTCTTTGTAGTGCTCTGGAACGAGGCGGTCTCTGATGTTTCCACTTTCATTCCCTTTTCCAGGCGAGACAGTGTCACTGGTGGACGTGGATATCTCTCAGCGTGGTCTGACGTCCCCACATCCCCCAACGCCACCACCTCCCCCACGACGAAGCCTCAGCCTTTTGGGTATTGCTTATCTCTTTGCCTGCCTTTTACAACATCCTTCAGACTTCCCATCCAGAAATAAATTATCATCTCTTTCATCTGCTACTCGGCCATCATTGTTTAATAATAGACAGAGGTGTTTTGGATCCCTTTTATGTAACATTTGCAGTTGTCATGTTTTTTATCTGAAATAGACGTGGGCAAGCTCTGGGTCCCAGGGGCCAGTTTTTGTTCACTGGGATCCACCATGAGTAGCATCACCCCAAATATACATAAACAGAAGTGGCTGGGAGTCTACTTTCAGTTTTGTGGGGGCATGAAATGAAGAGTGGGCCCCCCTAGAGAATTCTTGCTTCGGGAGGTTTCTAGAAACGACCATTCTCCTTTTTTTCAAATTTTTTAAAAAATATTATTTTTAATTTTGGTACAATGTTTTCCATGCTGGATATGGTATTGGATAGAACTCTTCCAGGGGTGTTACAAATGGCAGGTGATGGTGTATGATTTATTTTTATTTATTTATTAGATTTTTACCCCGCCCCTCTAGACAATGTCTATTACATATATATAGCTAT